AATGCGATACCAAATGGATTATCTCGACACGGAACCCATTGAATTTCGTAGTGACAAAATGTCATCGGATTAAGAGATTATCACGGCGTGACAATCGGGAACGCGGGGGTAATTGCCTCTTGCTCGTGACACAATGATCATGCACGATAATGGCATGCTAAGGCTTGCTAGACACTGGACGACAACGTGTGTCGCGATCGACTTGCGTCACGCACGCACGCTGAATAATTAATGATATCCAGCGCATAGAAAGAAAATAAATGTCGGCCCTCGCGGAATCGGGTAAACACGCGGCGTGGAATTAATTTCGGCGTGTCGCCGCACGGAGAACCTGCTTAATTGATCCGGGAACACGCCCCTTGAAATGTAATTATTCCAGCAATGTGAACCTCCAGCGATAGGGAAAGTGCGGCTCTCGCGCCGCGCGATATTATCTCGCTGAATAACCGCTCGAACGAAGATAATTCAACGCGGATGAATCACCGAGTTCCCTCCGAGAGTTATCACTGATAACTTCGTCTCCACGCTTGATTAACGAACTGCTATTCAAACTTCGTTTTAATTATCCGACGTACCGAGGAGCACCCCGGTGTACCTAGGACCGAGGTGTACACACCGGGCACAGGGTCCGGGCATTAATTAGAACCAATCGTATCCCCGGCACGACGGGCTGAGACTAATTATAAGATATCGCGTGGAAGAGCGAGATTAGCCAAGGCGTAATTGCGTTCCATCTACCTCACGCCGTCGAAAACTCCCGTGAAAGATAATTCGATATCTGCCGTAATACGAAAATTATATCCTTTATCTCGCAACGCAGAAATTTCCGGTAGTAATTACTACTGGAAAACGCGAAACCACCGTTTCAAACTCGCCGAATTGAGAGATATCTCGGAGATATCTAAGCGAGAGAGATACCTCGAGACTTACGAAACGAGTCGATAACCGAACGTGGGTCATTGTGCAAGAAACGCGAAAGCTTGTTTGGAGACGTGCCGGACAACGACGGTCCAACGAAATCGACGAGAGTGGTCGAAGAGAAAAGGAGAGAAAAAGAAAGAAGAAAGAAAGGAAGAGAATAAAAATAAAAATCGGAGGGAGGGAGAAAAAATGAAAAAGGAGAGAGAAATTCTGCTCCACTTCGAGATAGAACTGTATCTGGCAGCTGATGCAAGCATCGATCTCTCGATCCTCTCCCGAATCGTTTAACATTATAATGACGAGGCCCCCGAGAACACTCGTAACAGGTAGGAACATACCACGAGACCTGTTGCGAGAGAACGGACCCCCCGCAGCCTGCGTTCACCGACGTCAGATGTTATCTTCATCTATCCGGGGCCTAGAGAAGCGAGCCGCTAGATCGACTTTTCATCTCCTCCCGTTCGTGCTCACGCGAAAATATCGCGAGCCAACTCCGCTCTTATCGCGGCCATCTCGGAAGCGTCGTGGCCACGCGAAAGGGGAACCCGCATGTGCGTTGTATCCAGCGTTTTTTGGAGGAATTAATGGCCCCGCTGGTGGCGGACATTTTCTTTTTTTCCCTCTCTTACACGAACACTCTGGAATTCTCGTACCCTCCGCGGTTACGGTACCTTTGTAATTCTTTGCCCTTCCTTTTGGCCTTTGCTTTTGCTCCTCTTCGTGTTCCTTTCCATTTACTTCGGCTCCTCGGCCTTTTGACGAACTTTCCGTTCGTACGGTTCTTCTCGTTCGGGTAACAACCATACGTCGTGCATATACCCAAACCTGCGTGAATGTAAGTAAGTACAGTGCCGCGTGTGCGTGATTTGACGTCCACGATTGAATGGAAATTCTTTTGGCAATTTATTTTTAATCGCGTTTTATTTGTACGGATAATGGAGTAAATTGGAGACGGAGATTAAAGCAGCTTATCGAATAATTTGTTTTTATTCGACAATAAAAATGGGAGTGTCGAAATTTGATATTTAAAAAGTGATTGTTAAATTGAGGAGGATAATTGTCTGTCGAATTTTCGAATATTGTATATTAGAAATTTAAAATATGCCTATTCTAATCGTTTCTATAATTATTAAAGTAGTAAGGTTTTAATCCACGATTCGAAATAACGACACAGTGGCGCGAGCTGTCGGCAGCCGCACGAACTAACAACACGAGCTTCTCGGAATTAAAGGAGCGACTGATGTTAAATCGAAATATCTAAATATACTTATCGCTTACAATTTTATTTTAATAACCAATAATATAAAAGAAACGACTCTATTTATCAAATAAACGATTGCCTAAATTTTACCACGCATAGTATTCTAACCTCATCCCATCATATTTGTAACACAATTCTTCCTCCACTTTCGCGCCTTTACTCATAAACCAATTAAAAATTATCTAAAAATTAACCAAGATAAGATACCAATTATTAAATAATTTATGAAATTATTAATTCAATAATATTTTTATTTCCAACGACTAGAAAATAATTTAATTTTGTAATAAATGCTACAGGAATAAATAGATACAAAGGAACATCACGAAAGGAAGAAGCACAGTTTTAGAGGATATCAATTCGATTTTGTAGAGGATCAATCGAAGTTCAAGGATCAAGTGAATCATTTGAACACCTTAAGGGGTATATCTACGAAGAGTGAAAAGCATATAGTTTTCGTGTAGTTTAATTCGAGAATGCATAATAAATATTTTCTCAAGGAATAACAGTATCTGTACAGGACAGTACGCAACGTTTCATCAATCTCTTATCTTCTGCAACGAATATAAAATTACAACTGTACAATTCGAGAATAAATAACAACGTGATAGTTTCATTATATTAACGATTTCTCTCGTGTAAAGCTATTTAGGAAGGATTGTACTATCCACGCGCGATGCGTCCACCCTGCGTGGACTAAAAATTTGCACTTTCTATTTCATTCTCTACATACAACGTAGAACAAAAGTCCCGCGACGTCCGCGGCAAACGAACGTTCGACTATATTCGTCTAATCTATACCCGATATAAAAAAGAGGAAAAATAGAGAAGAAATTTATTACCACTAAGTACTACGATAAGCGTGATCGACGTGATGTAACATGCAACATGGTCGACATTTTTCTTCATCATCTGTTTCGATGCAGGTAAAAAATGGACATACGATCGAAGATTTCTCGCGTACAATCTCGCGATTCGATCGGGCGAACGATATACCAAGCAATCTACGAATTGGAATTAGTGTGAAAAATTAAAAATACTTTACTTTACGTCGTTTCCTTCAGTCATCTCGCGTATTAGAATTCTAGTTGCTCGACAACGATAACGGGCGAACGTTTATGCGCGTACCACAGGCGCGTGTCTGGATTTCCATTTACCTAACGTTAGGAACATGCTCTTTGGATGAGTAACAAAAAAAATGCTTCTCCAGGAGGTTGCTATCGAACGTGGATTCTAGCACCCGTCGATTAGGATAATCGAAGGCAGGACAACGAAATGGTAAAGATATTTATCTTCGTAGTGGCTATGAAAATAAATCGATCGCTTCCTTAACTCTTCGGAGCACGCTGGGATTAAAAGTGCTCCGCCATTTTGATGCACCGTGACGCATGGCGGGAAATTTTGAATCTCGCTTCGAAATATTGCAATAGCTGCACGCGCATAGGTTTATATTTCGTTTCATTTACGTAAAACAGTTGGTAATACCTTCGACAAATATTCTAAATGTATTCGCTCGTGTTGGCAACATTCGACGTACAAATACAGGTTCATCGATTGTCGCGACAACCTTTGTTTCCTGGTTATATGCGAAAAATCGTAAAAGTAGGTTAATTTTTATAAAAATGAAGAGTTTTATAATTCCTATGCAACACGAGTCTATTTTATCATCCGAGATCCCGTGCAGCAAAGAGTTAAGAAATATGAAAATTCTCTGGTTAAAATCCAGGCAGCCTGTGCACGTCTGTATATATCAAGATGATCGATAAGTCTTTGAAGAAAATTAAATTAAAGCTACCTTTTTACGATATAAATAAATACCCGCATAAATTATAGTCTACTTGTTGCGATATTTCAGCGTTGATTATTATACTTGCGCTTTCGCGTTATTATCGTAACTCATTTTCCTTGAACTCAATCGTAATCGATCGTCCCAATATATACCGTTAATATATACTTCTAACAAATTGTTTGTACAAGACATAGAATGTTAATGCACCTAAGTAACAGGGGATTTCGTCCCGCCGCGAGCCACGTTTCTAACTAGAAATAAAAATAAATCGCTTCCAGGATGAAGCACGCGACCAGAGGAATTTGGTATATACATATGGATACGTATTAAACGACACGCCGGTCCCTAGGGAATTTCCGTTCGGGCTCGCCGGTCTGCACGGCCTGGAAGGCGCATGGCGGCTAACTGTGGCGTGAACGGAACGGCACGCAAAACCGGCGTGACGTTTAACGCGATAAATATATTTTACAAAAAGAAGTCTCGATCGTAGTATCACTGGCTGGATCGACAAATAGTCACTAGATATGATACCGCGTATAACAATAGTAACCATTCTGCTTGCGTTTCATTGCAATTCTAGCGAGGATCGAGTGTAATCCGTAATAGCGAGTAACTAGACTGCAGTCACTGTTTTCCCCTCAAGTCGCTAAAAGTATTGCGTAAAAGACGGGTCAAAAAATATATATATACACCTGGAACTGAAAGGGACATGTCGGACCCTTGCCTTTTTTTTTCTTTTTTCCGCCATTTTCTTTGCGATTTCTTCCGATATATCTCGCGAGCTGTGTCCTCAGACGTGTTCGCGTAAAATTTACGTTTCTATATAAATGTCATGGCTACACACGTGAACGTCGAGGCTCGACTGTTCCCTCGTGTAAAATATTGCTCTGTTTCTGTGCGGTTTTGTCCATAAAAATGCGCCAACTTCTTCGCGAAGTGTCAAAAAGTCGATGCGATTGCCTAAAACACGTGTCTATCCCGAAGGAAATCTGACGAAGCCATACGCGTCTCGATGATCGAGATCGTGTTTGGACAGAGAAATGCTGCTTGCGAAATTCTTCCGCCTCTGTTCGTTTATCAGTCATTCTCCTTTCCATTATCTTCCTATCTAACCGAAGCAGCCTTTTCTGTTTACTTCTTGCTCGACGCGAAAACAATGGAAATTTCTATTTTGATCAAAGAATTACTCCGCTCGACGTACTTTCATTTGCGAAATATCACTGCTATTAGAGCAGACAGAAGTATTCTAGAAGCCTACTTTCATTTTCTTGTGCGTACGAAACTGTTTCAATTTCCTGAGAAATCTCCAGCGCTGTCGCGTCGATTGGTAACTTAATATTTCTACAGTATATCAGTCTCAAAAGTGGATTGAGCGAAAACCTACGGAACCAGTTCGTTTCTGTGGATTCGAAACTTCGCACCGGAATTTTCGCTTATTGCAACTGATAATGTTTCCTGTTTCCGTCACTGGTACCTACGGTAGACTTCATTTATCATAGCTAAATCGGCAGGATTTTAATTTCCAACGAATCATCCTACTCGCTAGAGAAATAAACATCGAGGAAACTACACTTCCACCATCGCGAGATTGCAATAGTTGACCGGAGAACTCGTACCGAAATCTATCTACACCGGTCAGCTGACCACCAAGATGGCGACGAGACGATCTAGACGCTCGTTTTCCTGTACGACCTTTTCGCGTATCTTTCGAATATACCCTCGGCACGTCTGTAGAAGTGCACCATCGATTTTTGTCGCGAAATCGCGTGTTTCCTCTGCTGTCAAAGAATCGACACGTCGTCCGATCTCTTGTTGCCTGGCAGCATGGCGTTCCTCTCCTCTAGCTGGATGTTCCCGCCGCTCTGACGTCGAAAGTTGTTCGTCATTCCCGGCTGAATATTCACGTACCTGTGCGCTGCTTCCTCCTTCTGCTTGAAATTCTGCAGGATCACCGCCGAGCCCGACGAAGGCTCCTCGGAGTTCATGAGGAGAGGCCTAGAGCACTCCATGTCGGAGTTCGCGTTGCCCAACAATAAGTCTGGATTCTGCTTTTCGTCATGGCAGTTGATGTCGAGTAGAGGAGGACTGGGTGGTCCCAGTGGGCTCGACGTAGACGTGGATGACCTGGTCGTGGAACGCTCAGGTGGCCAGGATAACGAGAACTTCCTGAAATTCTCTGTCAACTGTATATCTAGTTGCCCAGTGTGCTCGATCTGTACGCTGGACAAAGGAACGTCTAAACACGGAGACAGAATCCGAGGATTCGTTGCTAGGAAATCGACGATCTCCGGAGCAGTTGGCCTCTTCGTATGCTCTTTCCTCCAGCAAGAGTACATCAAGTTTACTCTGTGAAATATAAGACAGTTTGAACGTTGTGAAAATTGAAACAGAGTTGACAGAATGTAGACAGTGGAAGAGGGTTGATCTTACAGCTGCAATTTCACTCCTTTAGGAACTATCAAGGAGTTTCCATTCTTGACGTGAGTCAGTACTTCGTTATTGCTCATCCCTTGGAAGGGAAAGCTACCAAACGTGATGATCTCATAGAGCAAAACTCCGTAGGACCAGACGTCCGAGGCTGGAGTGAAGATCCCTAGGCCTAGTGACTCTGGTGCCATCCATCTCACCGGAAGCATACCTAAAGTAAGAATTATTCCGTTCGACATTTCTGGCATTCGAATTGGCAAGTCTTATAATTGCACGGTTGTACCTCTTCGATTGAATTTGTAGTAGTCGTTTTCGTACATCGGCCTCGTCATACCGAAATCGCCAAGTTTGACTATGCGCTGAGCGTTCACCAGACAATTTCGCGAGGCAATGTCCCTGTGCGAAAGAAAGAGAAACTTAAGTTTCGAAGGCTGAATTAGATATTCCTGAAAGAGGTATTCTTCCTAAATAAATCTCATGTAGAAAGAAGGTGAGAATTTTGCACTTACCTGTGAACGTATTTCATTTGTGCCAAATAGCTAAGAGCCCTAGCCACGTCCAGCGCCATCGCGGTTAACTTTTTATTAGAAATCTCGTCCGAATCTTCGTAATTGCGATCGTTGACGAGATGTCTTCTGGCGAGTAGGTACGTTTTCAGGTCGCCATAGAGCATGAATTCCATGACGGTTAAGACAGGCTCGCCTTTGATGCACACACCCAGCAGTTTGATTATATTCTTATGCTCGAATCTCTTCATTACTTCCACCTCACTGAGGAAGTCCAACTTCTCGTCAGTGGAGCTTCCGGCTTTTAAAGTCTTCACGGCTACGGCCAGCCAACCTTTCTCAGGGAAGAACGCTTCGCCACCGTAAACGGTTCCGAACGCACCCTCGCCCAGTTTCCGATTAATAACCACCCTGTCTCTGGGTATCTCCCATTTGTCCAGGTCGCACCCGTCCATCATGTACTTCATGGACTTCATGTACTTCTCGTGTAGACGCACTTTCTTTTCGTATCTGTGAGAAGCAGATATAGAAACGTTTATGGGTACTGTCGAAGAGTATCCGATACGTAAACCCTTATATTAGAAGAAATTCCTAGCTCACCTTCTCTTGATGATGATGAAACCAATGATCAGTAACACCCCCAGCAAGCCAAAGCCAAGGAAATTGACTACCACAAATGCAACTTCGCAGGACACGTTTAGGAAATCGGCGAAACCGCCGATGACACAACGTTGGGGTGGTTCAGAGCCGTCGTCTGGCATCGTTTTGGATAGCCAGACCAAGGCAGAGACGTTCAGATCCAATCTACCACCCACGACTTCGTGCTTGGTCTCTGATACATTCGGGTAGAAATTACCGACCATTCGAGTTTCGTTATTCACGTACTGAACGATGTTGATGACCGAGTATCTTGAAGGACCACCGAAGAATTTGATCCTCCCAGACACCTAAATAATTCATTTTTATTTATTTATTTAATAATAATTTACGGGTAATAGAACCCATTAGTGTATAAACAAAAAATAAAAAATATAGTGGTATCGCAGGATGAGCATGTTTTCTAGAGTGCGTGCGAAAGGACAAATGACCGTGCGCTAGGATCGTGTGGACGGGATGTTTATGAATCTTATGAAGAGTGTCTTTAGGAATGCGTTTGAGCGTTTGGGCTACGTGACCCACTGAGGGTAAGATTGCGAGGAGTGCGTGGGAAAGTGTGATTGGAAAGAGAGAATAGGTATGAAAGAGGATATAATGTATGGTTTTAAATAGGGATGCAAGGGCGAGAGTGTGTAGTCTGTCGTAGTACGTGTAGTATATTAGAGTTCGTAGCAGAGAGTTGTGAAAAAAGGTGTTGTTAGTTGTATTCGTGTTGTTAAGTGTATTCGTGTTGTTAGGTATAATTGTGTCGTAGTTGAAAGAGTTTAGTTGATAGATTATATTCGTAGTCTTTACCGTCACCGCACATTCTATATTATATTTTATGGTTAATAAATAGTTTTATATTATTCGTGTTCCACCCAATCTCTACAATAGGTTACGTATAGTTCAAATGCCGATATAGCCAATATAAATAATTTGCTCAGAGATTTAAAATCTGGTTTTTAAACGAGGAGATACTAATGCCAAAAAATTGAAGGTTTAATGAGAAACTGTTTGCAAGAATGGATATTCTATTGATAGGGTCTGCTGATTCAAGTCGTGCAGTATTATGCTGGTCAGGTATAAAGATTTGAAAGTCTCTTAAATTTCTTGAAGCAGCATGAAAATTAACGAAAGATAATAATTCTGGACTGTGTATAATAGCGTTTATAATTTTAAAGAGAAACAAAAGGTCGGCAGCAATTTTGCTTGATTCGAGAGATTTAAGATTAAGCTTGCGTTGAACAGGTTCATAATCGTGATCATAAATACTCATATAACGTTCAAGTTTATAGCTAGCAAATCTTAGAAATCTGTGTTGAATCTGATCAATATGATATTTTTCACCAGCTTTTGTTGCAGACCAAATCGTCGAGGCATATTCTAAACGTAGGCACCTAACTAAGGTACAATATAAGACTCTTAAACACTAGGTTTACGGACGCTATCTGTATACCTATCTCTAAGGACACCTGTCAAATTGACAGGTAGAGGAAACCACGTGCCTTCTTTTTTTAACGATTAATTTAATTTAAAAACAATTATATATTATATTAACAATCTTAATATAAGTTAACTAAATCTGTTACCATCGTATAATTGGAGCAACCCTTCCGTAAAATTCACGGGTTCTGTAAATCTAGTGTTAAGGAGTTTACATTTTTGAAGTCAGCACGACATCTCATAATAAATCCTAAAGTTTTACAGCAGCTGGCAATGGTTTCATGAATATATGGATCAAAATTTAGTAATTTTTTAACCCTTAACGAACGAGCGCATTTTTCTAGAATAATAACCAGTAGGTCGACGGATTTTTAAGAAATTAAGTGCTTTATTTCTAGAGCGAGAAAAGGTGCATAATTAATATCGCTTTATTGGATTTTATGGAAACTTTCAGTAATAATAGATAGTATATGAAGAGATATGTCCATACAAAAGGATACTGAATTGAAAATTTCAGAAAAATAATGGGAGTGCATGATGAAGGCCGAACCTAACAGATTTCCTAAAATATCACGTCATGTCGCCTGTATGGCGGCATTCGATTTTTTTAGAATATTTATAATGTCTCGAATATGGTGGCATTCGTTGGCTAATTCGTTTTAATTTACAAAGTAAATTAAAATTCGATATGTTATGAGTTTATCGATCGTTCATTTACCCCATGGAAATCCATCTCTCCGATGATGTCCGTTAATCTGTTGCTAGTTTCCGGGCTGTGGAGCTCGAAGACGTAACTCTGGTTCTCCTTCAGCAGTCGATCCATCGCGTAAGCGTACGTCCACATGGCGTCGTAAGCGAAACCAGCGTAATTAGACGGGGGTTGATCTTTCTGTCGGCACTTGGACTCGTAACGATCGCGCCATTGGCGCACCGTTATTCCTTCTTGCATGATTTCGTCATCGGGTGCGAAGTACGCGTGAGAGAGACCGAAATAACCGTTTATGGCCTTGCTCATTTCCATCGTGGTACACGGCACCTGTTCCCCAGCGCGATTGTATCGGTCCGTGTCGTACCACTCCGGTCGCAGCCAAAGGGGTAGAAACCACACGTAGCCCTTTGACAGCGGGAAATTAATTTTAGACAATAGAGTCGCAATTTCGTGGCGATATCCGGTCGTTTCCGTAGATACTCGGGGTGGAAGATGGAGTTTGGGAGATTTCTAATTACGGGTACCGATTTTTATGGGTTTCGAATGACCCAACGCTTCGCGAAATAATTCTTGTCGATCCAGGAAATATCGATATTATTAAAAATCTTGAGGATTTTTAAATTAAAAATGGAATGTATGGAATTTTTCCATTTGGAATTCTACAAATTATCGTGTTCTGTAGTTATTCTTAATATTATATTGGATGTCACGTGATCGATTTTTAACATCGTAATGGTATCTTTTCAAAGCGATGGATAAATATCAGTGAGAACGAATTTCAAAAATATTCAAAGTTCTACCTATTAAAATTAATACAGCATTGTTCTTTGTATGTATAAAATTTGTCAAAGAAGTCCAGCAATGAGGTAGCCATAATAAAATTTGGCTCTATAATAATTCTTAATATTTGATTGGCTGTCACGTAACCAATATTTAATATCGTAATAGTACCTTATCAAAACGATGGATAAATATAAAAGAATACGAATTTCAAAATTACTCGAAATTCTATCTATTAAAATTAATGCAGCGTTATTCTTTCTATATATAAAATTTGTCAAAGAAGTCTAACCATGAAGTAGCCATAATGAAATTTGTACTGCTATTATTACTTCTTAACTTGAATATAAAATTACGACTATCTACTACAATTGAAATTTTACTTTAATCTCAGTGGCTGTAAAAAATGAAAAACTTTGTGCAAAGTAACAAATAAAATATGGAGTATCTACGAAACAGATCAAATACGTGTGAAATATCCTTTAATTGCCTTATTTATCTACATGAAAAATATTCTGCGATAAAATACTAATTATTACTCCATGTGTAATTACCTGGATTGCAGTCATTTCTAATCTGTACGCCTCGCACATCACCTGCCGTGCTATTTGGTCGTACACATCAGCGATAATGATCTTCGCCTTCTTCTGCTTCAGATCTTGCAAGTACTGCAAATCGACGTACTTTCATTAATTTCGCCAAACGCAAACGCTCGTTCTAGCAATGAATATTAAAGATATTTCTTCGGCATTTGTAATCGCGAAAATATGCAAGGTAACGTCGGAAACTCACGCTCTTGAAATATTTAAAGCGAATCGATAAAACACCGAAATGTTTATTAACCCTTTGCACTCGAGAGGTGAGCTTCAGTCACCATTTCATAAAATTTGCAAGATCGATATTAATTAATATATCAAATTTAATGCAATGTAACAGTGTGCGAGGTATCGAAATCAAATAATTCTACAATTCTATTATTATACAATTCTGTATTTACTGCTCAAAAGGTATTGTCAGTTTTTTAGTAGAGAATCTTTGAATTTCTACTCTTCTCTGGCCAAAAGTCGTCGAGTGCAAAAGGTTAATATTAATCCGCTAGACCTTCGCGATTTTCGCCCACTACGTTGTTACACTGTAATTAACGCTTATCAAAATTCGCTTCCGACAAGGAAATCGAGCTGGTAGGAAGAAAAAAAATATTGCTTCGACAAATTCGCAAACTCGTTGCCCAATGCCCCCTAAGGCTAAGCTTTTATCTGGGGCGTACGAACAGATAACGTTTCCCGGTATTATCGTAACAAAATATAAATATGCATACACGGTTATTTTCCATAATTTCTACATACCTAGTCCCGACATTGTAACGAGTTTTGCTACAATTTATTCATCGAAATATATAATCATCTATCTGAACAATCGCTCTGTCAATCGGCTCGGTATCGAAGCTACTCTAACTCGGCTCTCTCGTGATTTCAACAAGACATTTAACCTTTTTGCACTCGAGAGGCGACTCTCAGTCACCATTGAATCAGATTCTAAAGATCCACGTTAATTAATATATCAAATTTAAAATTACTTTAATTTAACGACGGGTGGAATGTGGAAGAAAAATAATTCTACGTCTTAATTTGCATATGATTTCTCATCTACCATTTTAAAAATATCGTCGACTCTATGACAGAGTCCTCGAATTACTATTTTTCTGTAAAAAATCATCGAGTGCAAAGGGTTCATCCCACAAAGATCATTACCTTCGTCATTACGTCGGCCTCCCGTTCCCTAGGGAATTTTGCATTCGCCACGAACGTGATCCCGTTGTCCCTAAGTATATCCTGCATGTACGATATATATTCCGTGTACTTCTGGCCATCCTCTGTCAGCGAGGCCACCCTCTTCCAGCCGAATTTCTTCAGCAGTTGCAAGTAAACGTGCTTGTACTGTTTATTCTCGCCGATGGTTCGAAAGAAGTAGGGGTACTTAGTGCGATCGTTGAAACTGGACCCTTCTGCGCTATAGCTGATCACCACGGTCTTATAATGCTTCGAGACCCCAACGAGAGGCTCTACAGTCTCCGAGCAAGCTGGTCCCAAAACACCGACCAGCTGGTCGTACTGATGATGCACTAGATAATCGATAAAGGATCTCATCACCATGTCCGGCTTACATTGACCGTCGCTGACTAATAGGCTGAAGTTATAGTCTCTGAGGATACTGTTGTTCACATTGATCGACACTTTCGCCATATTGGCTGCGATTAATATCGATTTGCCCGAGTAGAAGGTCTCGCTCATAGGGAATATTCCACCTATGTACAGAGTGCTCTTGTCAGCGTTATTCGGCATCCAATGTGCAAGGGTATAGTTGAGATTGTCTCGCAACCAGCCACACGCGATCTCCTCTTCGTCCACTCTTCCGATGAGATCGTTGTATCTGTTGATGAGATCCGTGTACATCTCGCCGGTGAATTTCGCGTGATTAATCGCCTCGTAGGCCAGCTTGGCGATGTACTCGAGTCTAGCCCAGACCAGCTTCACCAACCTATTCGACTCGTACATGCAACCGACTTCCGACTTGCTCGTACCACAGCGTGGGAAGTCGATGACGGAGACGTTCATCTCGCTCGGGATCAGGCTGCTGGGTGTCCAGTGGAGGAACACCAAGGAGCTGGAAAAACGAGAACGATCGTTTTCGTGCGCGATAATAAAATACGAAAACACGAAGCCCGTTTCTCGAGCGGATCGGCTCGGAGAAAAACAGGAAAGCGATGCTTGCAGCGGACGCTCGATAATAAAAAGAAACGCACAGGTCGATGGATGTTTGCGCGTACAGATTGTTTTCGAGATGCTATTTCGGGGAGACGTTTACTGCGGGACACGATCTCGCAGGAATAACGGCGACCATGAGTAACGCAATTTTTCCATGATCCGCATTCCAGCAATTTCGTGCATTTCGTTGCAGGGAATTGAAGAAACGCGAAAGCAGTATATCTAGGATTATGTTAGGATAGAGTCACGAAGTCTCTACTACGCTGGAGGGTACTTCGGCTTATTCCAAAATTCCCGCAGATTAGGGACTGGACATGACACGATCTCAACTCTAATTGACTCTATTTCTTGAAATCTTAAATAACAACAACTCTTACTAAGGGCGTTCCCTTGGTTCGCAAATCGGTCACCTTGAAGGAAGGGAAGGTCTTGCCAAACGAAGACTATAGTAGAACCCTCTCCTTCAAGGTGAGGTACGCAGGGTCCACCCGTGCACTGGTGACCCCATCGAGAATCCCAACGTATGCGGACCACATGGAACCCTCAAGCCTATTCACAGCCAAGTCTTAAATACCGTGGCCTAATTTCGTTAAATTAGGGTCCTCACGGAAGGAAGTCATAATAAAAGAGAAAATTTTCAAACCTGCAGCAGGCATAAATAAGAAAATTCCGATGCCGAATTGTTCTGGTCCTAAAGACCTGGCTGTTGGAAGACCTTAACTGTGTCTTCCCTGTCCCACAACGAAACAGCTTATCTGCTTCGTATCTCCGCGCGAAAATATCGAAAAATATACCTGGCTGTTGGAAGACCTTAACTGTGTCTTCCCTGTCCCACAACGAAACAGCTTATCTGCTTTGTATCTCCGCGCGAAAATATCGGTCGAAAGCAGAAGAAAGATGCTTTCGTGCATGGAGAAATGTGCCAAATAATACCTGTTAACGTCTGACGCGGTGGAATTTCGGCTGAGCAACTCCTTGGTCAATGTTTCCGTCACGTACTTCAGGTTCGACCCGACCCAGGCCACCTTCACGTACAGCTTCATCTCGTCGATGTGATCCTTGACGAAATTCGTCACGTTGGCGTAACTGGTCAGCAGAAGGGCGCACGGGTTACCTCGACACCTCTCGGGAATGTACATTCCACGTTGACAGAAAGGTTCGTCGCAGAAGTGTGATTCCGTGGCCTGGTTCACGGTGAAATTCCGAATGTTCTCCAACGTGAACTCGTCCACGTCAAAACGAGCAGCTGTTTCTGGCCTGGCGAAGATTACCCAATTGTCCCCAAGCCTTGACAACGGGGCGGGAACGAACCAGCCGAAATGACCCGGTGGTGCAATGGATCCGCATTCTTTCACGTCGTGCAAGTGTAACAACGGCGTCGTGTCCACCTGTGGCGGGAACCAGACCTCCATGTTCACCATAGACTCTCTGTTCGAAGAAATCGTTCACCGTGAATACCCTATCGTCCATTTTCCCACCACGACTCGCGAGAGTAATTTTAATCTCGCGAGGTCAGAGGGAAAACGTCTCTTTATAATTAAGATTCCCCGTACAAGGTGCAATTTTCCACCTGGAAACAATTCCGTTGGAAAATTTTCTTCGTAACCTTTCCCCATGGGGACGAACTTTCAGCGAGTGCTAATTTTAAGAATAGGTGTTTGCTGTTCGAGTTTGTTGCTTACTCCGTTATACCAATCGCTATTTCGTCGAAATTTCTGCCAAAGCTGTCATCTTCCAGTTCGAAAATGAAAACGTCCGGATAACCGAGCACCTCCGTCAGGAAAATTTTCATCACGATAGTGGCCATCCTCTGAGACACCCTGCGAGACACCCCGAAGGTAATGTTCATCGACTGTTGGACCACCTTCTTCGGATACACCTCTGTTAAAATGTTAGTACTCCGGTCAGTGTTCTCGTCGCGGCTGAGGATCCATTTATACCACTGACTAGTCGAACGAAACGATAGTACTGTAGCGGCATCATTCTCACCATCGTCAATAGATGGATTCCTACTTGAAGAAAGTCGACGACTTTTTCGCAAGTCCTCGTTAAAAACCCTTCGTTTCCTATATATATAATTTTCAAACTCTCCTAGGTATTCCCCATCTAAAGCAGGACCTGCTAGTGGACCCATCCACCTCCTCCTCCCTCATCCCCCTCTCCCTATTTATTTATTTATTTATTTATCTAGTCCACTCCCTGCAGCTTACCCACTTATAACCAAAAGCTGCATAATTTTCATAATTTTTGCCTTTCTGTACATAGGCAAACACGCATTTTAATAATAAGATAGTTCTTAGGTCTATATTATCTTATACCGATAAGCGCGGTAGATTAAATTTAATTTTAGATCACGAGTGCTTCACGCTGGAGCTATCGATCTCATACTATAAATTTTCATTTATAACCCTATTGTACGTTTTCGTTCTTTTTGTGTACGTATATTATTGTATCTAGTTTCTGGCGCATTAAACGTATATTAAATTGGAAAAAAAAGAAATTAGCCTGCTAGTGAACTCGTCAGTAAGGGTATCTAGCAGGTCCTGCCAGGACGAAAATCATCCCTTCCTTTTCCTTTTGTCCCTTCTAACACCACCACTACATCGAGGATACCTGCTACCGAACGACTTCAACAATCATGGATGAGGACCCCCCCACAGTACTCTGGCATTACGCGTACTAGCGAATAATTATCGAAACACCTGAACTCGTGAATGGTATAAATGGATCATAAGTGGCCTACAGACGTCGATACGTTTCCTCGATGCATGCATCGACACGATTGACGAGTACAATTTCTCTAGTGTCTTGACATTTGTATCGATGCCTAAGGGAAAAGGGTGCGTACGTGGTCAGACACGTTCGAGTAACAGCTTACCTTCGAGCATCGTGAGACAGTGATTCGAGACAACGATCTTCGCGATGGTCAGCAGGACCAACACGGCCAGTACAGATCCAACTCTCAACATCTTGACCTCCTTCTCCTGTAAGCAGACCAACACTCGGTTCACATTTGCAGACAAACGAATATCGACTAACTGGTATTGTCCAGTGGACCATACGAAAGCTTAAGACGTCGATGTAGCTACCAATTACCCTAACCGCGGTTCGTCACGTCCGAAATTAGTGTGGCGAAGGAACAACGCAGAACGTAGCCAATAACAAAGACCAGCAGACTCATTGGCGCCGAAATGTTCGGCGAAAGTTCCGAGATACACGAGATTACGCGTATTCGATATCGAAACACGGCATCGAAGCCAAGCCGGTTCCAAAACACCATCTCGAATTCGCCATAAATTCAGTGTACAAACAGGCGATAAATTCGTGTACGACACGTCATTTGATATTTAGTCTGCTCCGTTCTGTTTTCGAACGGAAGCAGGGAAGGCACGAGAATGAAAATAAAAGGGAGAAATTTAAAAGTAGCGCGTTCCGCGATTCAATGGACGATCTCTAATGGGATATAATAAGATTCGCGAGACTGAGATTCGCAGGTTACAGTGCAGCTAACAATGCATCGGCCGGCGTATAAATAGCGACGATGCAGAGTGGCAGTGATCCGACTGTGAACGAGGAACATTAAATTTAGACGATGTAACGTGCCCCTCGCCCCTCTCTGTGCCGGTGAAAGAGAGAGTACATGCTCGGTTTGGACAGGTGGGGCACCGTCGACGGTGTCGCCACGGTGTGCAGCGCGTTTGTTTACAACGATGAGCAGCAGAAGCACAAGTCGACGGAGGTGACAAGAAGCAATGATCGCCACGTGCTATTCTTAGCCATGGGCGGCGGCATCCGCTGCTTTGACTTTTCAACCCGTGGGCGAATGAACTGCGTCGTTTCTCTCATCGTCTCTCGCGATTCCCGATTCGGTCACTCTTATTTTCGATCGAACCGCTCAGCCTCCGGGAACTGGGTCGTCTGCGTGCTTTCCCGTGAAGAGACGTGTTCCGTGACTAACGTCGTTCAAGGAACGCGTCGCAACCTCGCCGCTTCATTGGAACGCGTCGTTCTCGGAACGTCACCTATTTATCGCATCGCTGCATGCTTCCGGTGACACGCGGATGTGCGTCGATCGATGATCGATCGATTCGCGTAGGTTAGAGCTCGTAAGCGTTTTCACGTCGGACAAATGGCGAAACGCGGTTATGCGGAATTTTTGGGTGACACTTGGGTGACACTCGGGTGCCATTTGGGTGCTACTTGGGTGCCTCTTGGATACTACTTGGGTGTCATTTGGGTGCCATTTGGGTGCCCCTTGGGTGTTACTTGGGTGCCCCTTGGGTGCTACTTGGGTGCCTATTTGGGTGCCCCTTGGATACTACTTGTGTGCCATTTAGGTGCGCTTTGGATGCTACTTGGGTGCCCCTTGCGTGCTACTTGGGTGTCTATTTGGGTGCCCCTTGGGTAATATTTGGGTGCCATTTGGGTGCTACTTGGGTGCCTCTTGGATACTACTTGGGTGTCATTTGGGTGCCATTTGGGTGCCCCTTCGGTGCTACTTGGGTGCTACTTGGGTGCCCATTTGGGTGCCTCTCGGGTACTACTTGGGTGCCTCTTGAGTGCCTCTTGGGTGCCACTTGGGTACCACTTGGGTACCACTTAGGTGCCCCAGTTGACGTCACGCGACAGCACGCGAGAACTAGACGCAGATGTTTTAGGTATGCAGAGCGACATCGATGCACTGTCAACTCCAAAAAGAAGATGACGCTAGTTCATCCACTTGTGCGTCATACGGTCTTACTATCGGTCGGATAATCGAACCGTTCACGTGTTAGGAATAATTGGATGAACATTCGTTAAAGCTGCGGAGCTAATCGCGAATGCTTAAGGTACTCGTGCAAGCGGTTATATCCGTTTCGCTTCTTCCGGAAATCGCTCGATCACGGACCAATTATAGCAACGTAATATCCGAAATATTCGACGAACGTCGCGATGCTGGACGTCGAGAGATAGGTCTTCGAAAATGCTCGGAATGAAATTTCGCGCGCGATTGTGGAACTCGCGAGGACTTGTACGACGACCCGAGTCAATAAGCCCCGTAAAAAGCTCGGAACCGATAAATCAGGCTGGACGTTCGCGACACGTGCAATACTAATTACATACATCTGCGACGATAAATCATTCGCAACGTCGGCTATTTCTAACCAGCCTATCCTAGCTTAAACCACCTGAGCTTATCGATTTTCGGTTATTATTAGTAAACGAGTCCCTGAAAATCTGCGTGGCGTGAAACAATTTTACCTCGTTCGGCCTGATCAGGCAGTCAATTCTCCTTCAATAACGGAAGCATTAAACCTGCAAGGATGAGACAAATCCGTTTAACACTAGAACTACCGATCTTTAATGGGTACCTAACTATAACGTGCATAGATTATAGTAATTTCAGCGATACGATGAATATGAGTGAATATATTGATTACAGTTCTTTCTTAATACGAGTTGATACCAATTTTATTCTTAAAGCAGATGTATGTGTTCGGTGATTGCAAAAAGGAAAATTCTGGGACCAGTCATTTTCACTGGGTTGGTAGTTTTAGTGTTAATACGAGTCAAAACTCGGAACCGTGATTCTCGTTTGCATTTCCAGCGATTAATTTGTAACCGAGATTCGTCGCGAATCGCGATCCGAGAAATGCCTCGATTCGTAAATATTGTTCGTGCCAGTTCACCAAGTGACACCATGCCGATCGAACACCCGTGCACCCTCGATAACCACTATAGGCTGAACGGCGTACTTGGCGATACCGCGATTTATCGGAACTAGCGCAGATATTTTCATCGGCGTTGCGTCAGTCGTGTAGTCCGTCATGACGGAACGATCGAGGAAAATACCAGTGTATCGGCTAAGCATTTCGAGGTGGGCAACACATGACGCAGGAGAGGCCCGCACGTAGCGAACCTCGATTTACTGCCTTCGAGAAATTAAACCGGGACTGACCTACGACCTGCCTCACCATCGATGAATAATACATTATGGGAGGCCGGTGGAAATAATTCGATTAACCTTTTTATCGCGATACGACCGCAGGACCTCTCCTCCTTCGTGCTCCCTGCGCGAAAAACGAGCAGAGCTTCTCAATGGAGCAACCATCCGACGTGACATACATAACGCGCTTGCTTATCTCCGATGATTCAATACCGAACGTAAACATATTTGCTCTAGATTTTCCATTAAGACCAGTGCGTGGAAACAAGAGCAAAGGAGTGCATTCTGATTGGTCGTCGAGTTTAATAATCGATCGAGAGAGGAGGAAAATAAGATCACGAGTCGAGGAATAAATAACAGAATCGTGATTTATGGACGTTGTTTCCCGCCTTTGATTTTGCGAGGGGTTGCGAAATCTAGTATTTTCGTGGACGTCGAATATTTTATACGAATACTCAAGCTAGCACAAACAGTTTCACGCCAATGATAGATGTAGAAATGAAAGAAGAAAATGCAATAACGGAAGATACCGAGATACTAATTAAATATATACTAGAAGAAAATTAATTCTAGATAGAATCGAGATATTAATTAAATATATACTGAAAGGAAATTAATTCTAGATAGAATCCAGATATTAATTAAATGTATACTGAAAGGAAATTAATTCTAGATAGAATCGAGATATTAATTAAATATATACTGGAAGAAAATTAATTCTAGATAGAATCGAGATATAGGATTAAATATATAGCAGAAAAAAATTAATTAATTAATTAATCAATTAATTATTATAAAAAGAAGAAAATTAATTTAACAAAATTAATAAATAAAATAATAAATTAAAAGCTTAAAAATGGTCACGAGTTATGGTAGCTCGGTGTTGATCAAAATATACTAATTTTTATATACTCTTTATCTAATTGATCTAAAGGAGGAAAAAGAAGAAAATTAATTTAACAAAATTAATGAATAAAATAATAAATTAAAAGCTCAAAAATGGTCGCGAGTTATGGTAGCTCGGTGTTAATCAAAATATACTAATTATTATATACTCTATATCTAAAGAAGAAACAAGAAGAAAATTAATTTAACAAAATTAATAAATAAAATAATAAATTAAAAGCTTAAAAATGGTCACGAGTTATGGTAGCTCGGTGTTGATCAAAATATACTAATTTTTATATACCCTTCATCTAATTGATCTAAAGAAGAAAAAAGAAGCAAATTAATTTAACGAAATTAATAAATAAAATAATAAATTAAAAGTTTAAAAATGATCACGAGTCATGGTAGCTCGGTGTTGATCGAAATATACTAATTTTTATATACCCTTTATCTAATTGATCTAAAGCTAATCTTAAAGTTACAAACAGAGTTTAAGAAAACACAAATAGATAGCAAGATGTTATCTCTTCGTTCCATTTTTATTTTTACCGCGTGTATCTCGGAAAATAAAAAATGTAAAAAAGTTTGCGAATGACGTTATCCTCTAACTTTTATCGCTGGACGTATGCATACGTGTATTATGCATGGAAGTATTTAGTGCACCAGGTGTCGTGTCGACGTTGATTTCTTTTAACCGGCGACCTAAAAAAGAAACTGCGTATCGCGAAGGTAAAAGCCCCGTGCTCCGAGACGCCATGAAATTTCGTCGGACGAAAGGATCGTAAAAGTTTGCAAATTATTATCGCGAAGATACGACGGAGAAAGAGAGTCGAGCGAGAGACGTGCATCTATTTGTAGAACAAAAACGGACCTCGGGGAAAAAGAGGAAACGCTTTGACGCGAGTGGTCGCGCGAAGACACGCGCGTACGAGTTCAATAGATAAACGCGTTCATTAAGATTAATTCACAACCGCGCGATATGCAAAGTTAATTGAACGAGCGAGCGAGAGGACTGCGAGAGAGAGAGAAGGGGACAGCGAATACTTCTCGATTTTTCACCGCGCGCACGTTTTCGCAAAAACGAAACGAGCGGGAGAAACGAGGAGAAAATGGAGGGAAATTTTGTTTTCCAGAGAACGGATTACCCGAGTCGAAAACAACTCCGGGAAA